GGGCAAGGTGCGGGAGGTTTCTAACTGGTTCATAAAAATGGTTTTTGCCCTGTTTGAGGTGATGATGACTAAGAATTTAAATTTCCCAGAGAATTTACTTTTCTTTGTATAAATTTACATTACGCACAGTTTATAACTTTTACTTTTTCCACAGATCAGTGTATAAAAATCATTATTTTAATCACAAAATTTAAGCAACACATATTCTAAGCATTATACAAGCATAATAGGAAATGGCACATTCTGTGGGACAGAGAGAAGGTTAACACTGGTTAACATACAAGCAATCCTCAGTATAGTTAATCCTATAGAATAGATAAGTGCTTTTGATTCTGTCTGAACTGCAATGTTTATCAATATTTTGAAAAGTTAGAATTTGTTAAGTCTAATGAAATAAATGTCTATAAAGGTCATGTTACACAGATCCAGTATCCAATTTCAGTTAAAATGTCACTATTGGTCTCAGATTTGTTGAGGAATGAGGGCAAATCTGCTATGTAATGGCTGAGTTAAACACATACCAGATTTTTATCAGCTTTTACCAAAACATCTTTGAACTTTCACACAATCTTTGGTTACCATAATTAAACATTTTCAAATTTAAGCACATTTTCATTGTTACAAGAGAGTGTAGAAGGACTGAACAATTTTATTGCCGTCACATGGATAAACAAATTTCTTGTGAGTTTAAATCCTTCAGACTTTACTGTCTCTGAGGTCAGGGCCTTAAGCCAAAGATGCATATTCCTTCAGTTAAAAGAAAGGAGAGTTGGGTTCTTGGAGTTATAATATCTGTCTTCTACATCTAATTAAGAGGGGTAGAATGGAAGAGAGTGCATGTTGCATAAGGCTGTCTGTCGTTAAGAAAAGCTGTGTCTGTTAGGGGTCAAAGAGAGTTCTCTCCTTTCTCCTCACTGCCTGAGAATCTAAATTGGTATTAACTGTTTACCTTTGTGCTACATATCACAGAAACAAACACACTCCTGCACTGGATCCTTATTACAAAAATAAACCCTAATATTTGTTAAAGAATAAAGCCAGTCATTTTCTATATTTAGAGTATTTTCATAAATGTCCATACAGAGAATAAAATGGCCAATGAATTGCCTCTACTGATGGCTAATGTCTGTCAGTTGTCAGTCCTAGATTAGCTTGTTTGTGTGTGCCATAAATTTCTGTTGTTGTTCAAAAATGTTTAGAAGCACATCAGGGAAACACACTGCTACACTGGGTGACACATTTTTTCATTAATATGGAAATATTAGGGTCTTATGTTTCGTAATGAGGAAAATGTCACCATGTGCAGCAGTGTTTTTCGCTGATGCGTTTTTAATCATTTATGAACAACAATGGAGGTTTAAGGCACACAAATAAATTGATCCAGAACTGAGGGGACAATAACCTTGGGTAGAGGCAATTCATTGTTGGATTTATTCTGTCTTTGGGGAGTTTCTGAAATATTGTTAATTTAGAAAATGATCAGCCTTATCCTTTAAAGACAAATCTTTTGTCATGATTCGGTTCCACTGCTTCCTGTCATGCTTTTATTTTGACAGTACTTCCTGTTTTTGTTTCACCTCAGTTTCTGTCTTTTTACTTTAATAATCACTCACATTAGTGTTGTACCCGGTACTTTTTACCATACGGACTCCAAGTGGCTACAAAACAGTGCTGATTTATTCCATGAACACAGTTAAAAATTAACATTACACGCTCAGGCATCTTGCACCTCCAAACTGCACGCAGGCAGATGTAAGATGAAAGACCCCGAACCCAACAGGCCTGTACATTATATCTGTTTTGGGCTAACCCCATTCTAAACAGGGACGTCAAATCGTGACGTCTCTGGTGCCAGCCGTGCAGCTGGTCATAGCAGTAGTCAAAACATGAAGCAAATCAATGTGTGTGTGTCCATTTAGGACAATTTCACCAAAAATTGAAACATTTTGAGCTTCATAAACACAATTGTGGTGTGTAGCTAAAAACATTCTCACACGACCTCTAGTACATGTCATGACATTAAACATAAGAACATATTATGGCTAAGGCTACAGTTATACACATCATAATAATAATATTAAACACCCTGTCTGCTGACAGTCATCAACTTTTCTCTCTAGTTATCCTTGACCAGATGTACCCTGTAGAAACTCATGAGCATGACTAAGCATTTAACAGTCTAACTAGCCATCCTATCTCCACTAAACATTTCTTATACATAAAGTATCTAACCAATATCTATCTGACTAAAAATACCTAACATTAGTTTCTCCTGCTCCCGATTGTTTGTTCTGCCTTGCCCTTGTGTTTCGGACTGCTGCCTTATGTATGAATTATCGGACTTCCCCTTTGGGCTACGAACTTTGGATTCCCTTTGCTGTATGTGTTTGCTGGCTCTGACCATAGACTGTATCATCACTCTGTAAGTGTGTTTTGTGTGTCTTGTCTCATTTTTGTTATGCGTTAGTGCTCTTAACAAAGAGACGGTTATTCACATATCTTCGTCTAGAAATTTAGTCCCCCAAAGACATTATCGGCAGCGCCACGTGTCGATCCTGACAGTACAACCTGGCCAAAACAAACTCAGCCAGCGAGGAAGTCGGAGCCAGCCAATCACTAGTCCTGCATACACACCCATCATAACAGACAGTACCAGCCAAACACGGACTTAGTACACTCGGGTGTTAGTCATCCCACAGCCCTGCTTGCCAACTACCGGATGAGCAAGCCAGGTATGGGCCCAGCAGACAAACGCTGGGAGCTGGGGGGACTCAAGTATGTACAGGCCTTTCAGCAGATGAGGCTCGCACAAAGAGAGGCCCCATCCCATGAGTTCCTTCACCCCCAGGCAAGTACACGATCTGCTGCCACTATGCCCTCACACTCCCGCCCAGCACTGGAACCCTTTTTCTGGCCCACAGTCAACCTGCAACCTGTGCCTGAGCCATGGCAGCTGCAGTCTCCACAGCCCCAGAAGTCCAAGC